ATGGGACTACAGGAATATGCCACAATGCCCTGCTTATTTTTCTATATATTTTTATTTGGCCGATTAATTTCTTTTTATTTTTAGTAGAGACACAGTCTCATTCTTGCTCAGGCTGGTTTCAAACTCCTGACCTTGAGTGATCCTCCTGCTTTGGCCTCCCAGAGTGCCAGGATTACAGGTGTGAGCCACTGCTCCCAGCCATCACAAACTGTCATTACACAAAGAGTTCGATTAAATAATTGGCTCAATTAGAACTGTTAATCCCTTGCGATTGGAAATCTTTTGTACAAACAGTTATATCTTCACCTAAATTTTTATAGTTCACCACTTGGTGCAGGGAAAAGATCCATCAGCAACCCTAGCTAAATGGGTCTACAGACCCACGAATAAAATTTTCTGACTCAAATTATGGGCCAGGAATACTGGTTTGACATTAATGCACAATTAAAATATGATCAGGCTATTTCTGAAATTCAACAGTACTGTATTAAAGTAGGGAAAAGATAGCTTCTCTTAGGGTGTATCTTCCTATATAAATGTTAAACAAAATGATAATGAAACTTACATAGATTTAATTGTTAAATTGCAAGAAATATCATGTTCAAGAAATAGTAAGTCCTCCTAATTTAAGAAATATCACTTTACATATATTGGCTTTTAATAATGTTAATTCTAAATGCCAGCAGCTTTATGTCCATCAAAATTAAACAGCATGGTGCCACCACTGCCATGGCTGCTGAGCCACCCAGCCTGTGGCTGTGCTCAGCCAGGCAGCCCAGCACCGGCTCCCCACCACCGCACCCCAATGGCACCTCATGTAGCAAGGGGAGCACCTGGCTGCTGAAGAAACATTTAAGAAATTGCCAAAATGTCTGGTTAGATGTTTGAAATGCAACTTTGGCTGAGACTCTTGGCCCAAAAGGTAATTTCAGAGAACAAAGATCATCTTGTGACAATGAACTATTAACACCATCTACTGAGATATATATACCTATAGATATATTTGGCCTGATCCTACAAGCACATTAATATTAGTTAATAACTTGATCATATTTCTGTTAAATTAAAAAGAGTAATAATACATTTAGGTATAATTGATTCAGCTTATTCGAATGAAATTTCATTTATGATGAGTTTCACTTCCGATTATGTTATTCAGGCTAGAGACTATATTGCACAACTTCTGCTATTAATATGCAAATTTAAAAATCTAATGTTTTAAGACAAGGAGGTTTTGGAAGTACTGGAACAAAAGTATATTGGCAAACTTTATTAATGACAAAAAACCTCAATTAGAAATTAAGCTAAATGACAAATCTTTTGTTGGACTTATAAATACTGGAACTGATATTAAAATTTATCTAAAGGTTTTTGGCTAAGGATTGGCATATTATAATAATAGATTCAAAAGACTGTTTTTACTATCCTTTTG